TACGAGCAACGAAAACAAACGGAACATTCACTTCTCCAACTTCTTTAAAGCTAAAAGTTTATCAACATATTTTCAGCTTTACAAGATTCTTTAAACTCTTTTTCCGTGAACTTCTTGAGCAACAAGTTAATTCAACTTTTTTTTGTGAGCTCCGATAATAAAATATTTTTAGTAGTAAAGAAAGACTTTACCCCAGTCAAAGGGAAGTAACTCATTAATAATTCATGTAAAACCGTTGACATTTAAATATAAATATTGTACCTGTTATGAAAAGTTATTTTCTTGTGTTCTTTCTCTTGTTTGCTTTTTGTTTTCTTACACATTCGTAAAGTAAAAAATGTGCGGGTTGATTTACGCCATCAATACCACTACACAGTGTAAACCACCTAAACTCGCTGAAAGCTCTTGTTTTCAAGCGAGAACAGCTTGATTTTGACATTTGATGTTTTCAAGGTCAATTTTTTTGGTGTAACAGTAAACGACACACTGAAAACTTTCTTAAAAGGGAAAACAACTTTATTTTGAATACTTTTTTGAGGTCTTTTTGTAACATTGCAATCACCAACTCTTTTTAATATAACTTTATAAACTACGAAAGTAGCTGAAAAGAGCTCGATTTTGACTATTTTTTAAAGTGTTTTGGTAACTTTGCACAAACCTTTTTTTTTAATATAACGTCGTGTAAGCTGCTTTAAGTAACTGAAAACTGAAAAGTGAAGAAAACTGTTGTTTTCAAGCGGAAACTAAAACAGATCGATTTTGACTATTTACCAGTTCTCCCAACTTTGAAATATTCTTTTCAGGTGAAAATATCTCGATTTTGACTACTTTTTAGATATTTTCGTAACTTTGTGAAAAACGATTTTTTTTTTCATAACTGTGAATTGGGCTAAAAACTCACTGAAATATTTTGTTTTCAAGTGAAAACAGATCAATTTTGACTTTTTAGATGTTTTTGTAACTTTGCAAACACCAATTTTTAAGTATCTTTTAGTTAAACAAGTGAAAATTCTTGTTTGCAACTGAAAAAAGCTCAATTTTGACTACTTAAGACTTTTCGTAACTTTAGAAACTATTTTTAAATAACTTTATGTAGCTGAAAACAGTTGTCTTCAAGTGAAAACAGCTCGATCTTGACACCTTTTTGTTTTCGTAAATTTTAAAAACATTTTTTATGCGTAAACGCATAAACTCGCTGAAAACTCTTGTTTTTAAATGAAAATAACTCTATTTCAGGTTCTTTTTAAGTGTTTTTGTAACTTTGCAAACCTCTTTTTTAAATACAACTGTATGTAAACTATCAAATTGTGATGCTATTCGTGGCTTATTTGTGACAACGTTCTCCGATCGTCCATCGGCTACTGAACCTGTATCTGAATATACACCATATGCAGAGGTTTTTCTTTTCGGTCGTGATAGCTTTCAACAAATAATACTTGTGATGACAAAAGTTAAAGACACTGAGAGTTCACAACACGATTTCTCACTTAGCCGGCTATCTTTCCCTTCGGCTGAACTGCTATCTTCCTAACTTCACTGGCTTCTGGGCTCAGCGACACCTGATTTCCCACTACCGGTCCTTCTGTCACAGCTCTCACTCCTCTGTCACCTACCTACTTCTCTCATGACTGGACCCACTTTTCCCTCAACTTCCTGGATAATCATGAATAATCTTGGGGTACCCCCTCCATCTACTTGTCTTAGAAGATTTGGGACCACCACAAAGCCACATGAGTGGTCAAATCTTCTAAGGACTACTTTTATGACTATCTAAAATCATTTATAAAATTTTTTGTTTCTCAATTCAAAAGCAGCTGTAGACCCCCAAAACACTGACACTTAAATTTACTGAAAGATGGACTGGAGACAAAATTCCTACGAAAATCAGACAACTAAGTGGACTTAAAAGAAAAGAAATTATCTCCTTATCTTCTAAAGATGTGTGAGAAATCATATTGCTACATAACATTGCTGAAAACTCTCATTTTTGAGCGAATACATTTCAATGTCAAAATCTTTTTTTAATGTAACTTTTTGTAAGCTACCTGAAATATCTGGAAACAGTTTTTTCCAGCAAAAACAACCCAATTCTGACCACTTTAGGTGTTTTCGTAACATTGCAAGGTCAATTTCTTTTTATATACACTTTCTTCAAGCGAAAACAGCTCAATTTTGACTACTTATTCAGTTTTTATGACTTTACAAACACCAAATTTTAGTTAATATAACTTTGTGTAAGCAAGTTGAAAACAATGGTCTTCGAGCAAAAACTGCTTGATTTTGAATACTTTTTCGTGGTTTTTGTGATTTGCAAACATATATGTTTTTACTCTTTGCTACCAAAACAAGTTAAAAACAGCTTTTCACTATTTTCATTTATTTAGTCTCATTGCAAACAGCATATTTTAGTTATGCAAATCAAATAAACCTCAATAACACAAAAAATTCTGAAACAATATTTGTCAAATTTAAACTCTTCCATTTCCATCCTTAATAAAATGTTTAATTAAATTTTCTGCCATTTTTAATGGTTAGTTTTTGAGATATTTCGAATTTACAATATTGGACTGAAGGTATTATGCTGATTAAACTAATATTAGCTTAAGATCTCTGAAATCTAATAAAAACTATTTTTCTTTTCGTCCATAATATATGCTGAAACATGAGTGATGAGAAAGATCTAACAACTGCTGAAAAATAGAAAATAACAAAGTTATTGAGTGAAGGAATGTCCACATTGGAGATATCAAAGGAACTTTGCAGAGATCATCAACCTATAAAGAAGGCTGTTGAAAATATTAGCTTAGAACTCGAAGCAAAGGAAAAGGCTTTAAGAATTTGCTTCATTGAGAATGTAATCTAAAGTGAGTTATAGCAAAATAACCACTTTTGACCAGCACTCAGAACTTTGTAAAGGCTGGAATTGAGGGAGTCAAGAAGGACAAAAGGTGAAGAATACTTTGTGAACTGGGATCTGTCAAGAAATCTCATAGGCAATCTCCTCTCACTAAGGCAAATATTTTAAATTGTCAAAATTGGGCCAAGGAATACATGAAAAATTGACTTTTCTAAATTAATTTTCACAAATCTCAAGTGACATTTGATAAACCAGGTGGATAGGCCAAAGGATGGATTTTATCAAATTCAGACATGCCTGTGGTTAAAAGAAGACAAGGAGGCAGTAGTGTTATGATAAGGGCTGGAATTGTTGACCAAACCATTATTGGCTCATTCAAAGTTGATGAAGCAGTTAAACTGAACAATGCTAACTATTGTGATTTTATGAACAAGACTTTCTTTGCATGGTACAAGTCCTAGTCTCGCAGTTTCAAAGTGAAGTATTTATGCATGACAATGCTCCTTTTCATGTATCTAAGCTTACCCGTGAATTATTTGAGCATAAAAGATTTACAAGAGAGAAGATAATGGAATTGCCAACATCAAGTCCTGATGTGAATCCAACCAAAAATCTATGGTCAATTGTGAAGATGAAATTATATAAAAAAGGCAAACAATATAACAGCAAACCAAGACTTATGGGAAGCAATTAAAACTACCATGTCAGAAATTGAACCTGCTGAAGTAAAAAAAAAATTAATGGAATCATTAGATAATAGATTACTGGCTGTTATTGAGAAGGGTCACTAGATTAAAATGTAAAGGATTCAAAGACTTATCATGTGTTTGTTATTTATTCTATTAGAGGTGTTGATCAATTTTTGATGATTTTATTACCTTTTATTGAAGTAAAATGTAGTTATTTTGTTTTGCCTAATAACTTCAGACAGTAGTTTTTTAGAATACATCAAATAACTTCAATAAAACATATTGATACTACATAAAATGTTAACTCGGGCCTTGTTTTGATATCTAAATTAAATTGTTTAAAATTTGATAATTTTTTCAAACCAAATTTGAATCATTGATATTCATATGATTTGCTTAATAACTTCAGACAGGGTGTACACAACTTTTTTGTTACTTTGATATCTTTGCAAAATTTTAATTAGTTAAATTTCGTGCAAGCTATCAAAACAAGCTGAAAACGCTTGTTTTCTAAGCAAAAACAGCTGAATTTCAACTACTTTTTATTGTTTTTGACTTAGCCAAAACCAAATTTTATTTCCTATAACGTTGTGTAGGCTTCCTAAAGTATCTAAAAACACTTCTTTTAAAGTGAAAACAGGATTTGAGTAGGTGTTTTTGCGACTTTGCAAACATCAAATTATAGTTAATATATTTTTGTGTAAGCTACGTAAACAAGCTGAAAATACTTCTTTTTGATCTAAAACAGATTGATTTAGACTAATTTTTCATTGATTTTGTGTCTTTGCAAACACCAAATTTTATCTAAACTTTGCATAAGTTACTAAAGCTGAAAACATGATTTCGCCAACCTTTTTGCTGTTTTCATGACTTTGCAAACATCAAATTTTGTTTAATATAACTTTTTGTAAGCAACCTAAAGAAGCTGAAAACACTTGTTTTTGAGCAAAAACAGCTTGATTTCAATTGAAAATGCTATCTGTCAAGTGAAAAAACTTGATCACTTTTAAAAAAATATAGTTCATTTCCATCATCTATATTCTAGGATCTTGATTTCCTAAAATGATGAATGATAGAAATTCCAGATATTTGCTAGAATATCTCAAAGAACTTTATAGAAGTTTGTACTACAACCTGACATCCTACATCAATTCATAGTTGGAAATTAATTATTACTGATAGCAAAACAAAGTTTGGGATTTGAATGGTTAACATTCTAATAGTACTTTTCAGGTGAGGAATTGTTATACTGTTGAATACTTTAATAGACATTCCTGTAATTATTACAATTTATTAAAAAAATATTTGTGCTAAAATTGATTTAAATAAAATGTTGCAGTCCTTAATTTGAAATATATATCTTAGATGCCATCGCAAATTTGTCTTTCATTAAGGATACTACTCATTTTTTAACTTCAATAATTGTTAATTTTTGCCATTCACATGTTTTTTTTTTATTCTTCTAATTCTGTAGAGGTTCCAAGCATCTTTTGTCTTTCAAATGCAGCAATCATTGTTTCATAGACGAGGAATGTAATGCAGCATGCTGGAGTAACACGCAAGAGATTTGGAATAAAACCCTTGTAAAAGCCAGTGAGTCCTTCATATCTAAAACAAAAAGGAAAAAAATTAAATCAAAATAAATTCACAAAAAATATTTTGTTTTCTATTTTATAAGCATCTGTGAATATGTAGATTTTTCTTGGATCCATAGTCATTTTCATGAAGGTTAAAATGATATTAGAAAATACAGAACAATAATTTGCAGCTATTTTTTCTTCAATGAGATTAGATCATTTCTGGGTGATAACAAAATGAATTTGGAAATTTCTGTTAGTGGTGCTCATATAAACTTGAGTCAGATTTTCCATAATAATCTGGTCTCTAAAGACATCAGAAAAAAAAAGCATCAAATTTATTTACTCAATTATTTTATCAGTTAATGCTTTATATTCATTTTTATTAACAAATGGTAACTTTTCATTTTGAAAAATGCATTCATATTCAGATTGCATCTCATCCTTTGCTCAAATTAGATTCGAAAGGTTTCAAGTAATGATGAAGATATTTTTATGTAAAAATGTTTATACAAAAAAAGTAAAAAAAAAAAAACAAACTATAAATAGATAATGGGAGCCTAACTTTTAAATATATATGCTACTAGCACTCTGAACAATGAGTATTCACAACAGTGTCTTTGCATCAGCAAACATCATCATTGCTGCTGTGAAGTCACCACTAACCAATTTGTTTTCCACCCACTTATGTCATCTCATTGCTGCCATCATCAATGACATAATCAAGAGGAGATGCAGATAACATTCCATTCCTGCTAAGGACTGTCAGTTTTTACCATGGAAATGCTAATTACTCTGACAACGTAAGGATTTTTCCATTTACAGATAGCAAATAATTTATAGAGGTTTTACTTGCATTGACTCATTGACACAAATGGTAAATTTACATCATTCACTTCAAATGAGTTCATTATCCAACAAATGGTGGTAAAAAATATCACTGAATGTCCAACAGAAAAAAATAGGTTCAGTCTTAGGCTTTACATGTTCATATTAATTAGAAATACATTGCTAATTAGTGGCAGAGCAAAATAAAAAAAAAACAAAAAAAAAACATTTGGGATAATGGATATTAATGGCTTTGTTCAGAGGTTTATCACCCATCTGAATCTTATTGTACCTGCTAGGATCAATTCATCACTGCCCTAAAAGAGAGTTTATTTAGCTTTTATATAAGAGTGAATATATATATATATATATATATATATATATATATATATATATATATATATAAAGTTCCTCATAGTTAAAAAGTTGTTACTGGCGAATCTAAAATTATTAGTTTGGATAATGATTTTAATCCTGAAAATCCCCATATCAAACATGGAAAGTGAAATAAACTCTAAAAATGAACAAAACATATGTATTAACTTTACTCTTGACAGGTAAAACTCTTGTTGGAAGTTAGTGGGTTTACACTAATAAAAATGGTGATGAACTATCAGGCTTGGTTTGTTGCCAAAGGTTACTCTAAAAAACCTGGAATATTATTATTATTATTATTATTATAATGAAACTTTCTCACTCAGGACACTTTTATCATCTATAAGGACTTTAATACAATTAGCTATTCAACAGAATTTATCTGTCCGCCAAATGGATGTAAAGATTACATAATTAAATGCACTGACTGACTGTGAAGTATATATCCAGCAGCCAGAAGAGTATCATATTACCAGTAAATAAAAAAAAAAGACAAATTGTATAGGGATTAAAAAGGTTGTTATTGCACTTAAACAAAGTCTGCAAAATTAAAATGATGTAATTACATACACATTTAACTGGTTAAAAGGTTCTGCCACTGCTTAGCAGATTTCTGCATTAACACAAAAAACACATTGTATAAAATACTGATTATAGGTTGAGGATATCCTTATTGCTACAAATTGTAAATGTAAAACATATATAAAATGATGACAGCTTTCTTTCTTTCAACGTATACAATTTATATTTAAAAATAACTCTATAGAGATGAATCAAACATATATAGAAAATATTCTAGCCAAATTTTGAATGTAAGATTGTAAACCTCAAGCAGCCCTTTGTGAAATATATCAATATACTGAATGAAAGCAATACAGATGAAGAAATAGTCAAAGAAGTGGTCAATATGTTATGAGTGCATCTCATCCAGATATATGTTATCCTGTGACAAAATTATCACAATATTAAGCAAAACCAACCATGAATCAGTTGATAAAAACCAAATAAACACCCAATTTAAAAGACACAAAAGCACACTATCTCGTGTTTAATAAATCTAGGAAGCCCTTAAGTTTAAAAAGCATTGTGAAATGGGAAATTTTGAAAGATCAATGCAGTATCATAGGGTGTTTTCAGTTACTGTCAAACACTTCTATGATTTCTTGGAAAGCAACATACAGTAGCATTTTTCACATGCAAAGTGCAATACATGACATTAGCAGCTGCAATGCAAGAAATAAAATTCCTTCTCCAATTATTAAACACTATGATTAAACTATCTATTGTGGCAATCACAAATTCTATTTAGATACCTTCTACTACCAACATGTCGACATAAAGTACGAATTTATAAGTACTGAAGTTCTAAATGGCACAATAAAGTTGGACTATATTCTGCCACACCAAAATGTCAGATTTATTGACAAAGCCTATCAGCGGAATAAAATTAAATACACTTTTTAATGTTCTAAATGGAGCACAATCCTGAACTTTTTGCTTGCTCACCAATGTTTTCCAAATCTTTTATGATTAAAATATAATAGAAAAAAAAAATTTAAATAAGAAAATATTCAAAAAAAAAAAAAAAAAATTAAAATATGAAAAAATGTCAAATAAATAATTAAAACAAAAAATTACAAAAAAAAAAGAGAAAAAAATTGCAAAAACAATTGCAAATGTTAATACGTATTACTTATATTTATTGAGCCCATGCAGCTCACCTATTTGGTATTAATTGACCAAGTAGCCAATACTGGTTTCAGTTGAAATTTATATAATCTTTTTATTAAAACAATTTTTTAAGAAAACTGATTTCTCAAGTCTAGTAGCTGTTATCTATATATTCTTGCTAACCTTTTATTGTGGTGTGGAATTTTAACATATTGATTACGTCATTATTTTCACTTCTAGTTATATGTGCTATCTATTTACTGTTTTGCTGCTGTTGATAGTCCTCATGTGATGTGGTTTCTTTTATTTGGTAGTTATTCTGTAGCACCAGTCCACAATGTTCAAAGAAGGATGACTTTTGCCAAGACTCTTAGGACTTACTCAAAGCCTTATTTCACCATTGACCTTAGAAAGCGCTTGTATACAGCTGACAGTAGATATTTTTTGACTGGGTTTGGTGCCATGTATGACATCCATATGAAAGTCTCAATCTAATGAGGCTTTTTAAGAACATGACAAGTTTTCAGATTGATGTTTTGGTTTTGTAGCAATTTACGGTGTTAGACAAAACTATAATCTGGCATGGCCTATTCTATGTTCTATTTCCTTCTTTTCTATACTTAATTTGTTATAACTGATCCATAAGCTCAGGTATCTGAAGTGTTTAGTATTTGCTAATTCCACATCCTGAATTTTTATGATTGATTCAGGGTATGTGCCATCACTGCTTTCATTCCAATTTCAGATTACAGTTTCTGTTTTGGAAAGGTTTGAGTCTCATTTCTTGGAACACTTGATAGAGGATGCTGATTTTCTGTTCATGATCATTCTTATCCCGACTATGAATACCTATGTTACCAGCAATGCCCCACAATAGATTGGCGTCAGGAGGGAAAGCAGGATCATTGCCTTCTATTGGCAGACTCATTTGGGATGTGGTATAGAATGTTTAAATGATCAGTGCCCATCTCCTCACATCCATGTTTGTAAATGCACGTGGCATAATTTAAGAAAAAATTAAATAGACTGGGGCTCTCATTTCCTCCTTGTCATACATCTGATGAAGTCTGAAATGTATTCAGATTGGGGTCAACATATAAGATTCTGTAGATCGATACAGTTCCTTTAATTAGATCAATGCATCCAGTAGATTCAGAGCTTGGAATGCAGTTTCTAATGGATGAGAAGAGGAAGTCTCTGTTGATGTGATCATATACTGCTGTGAGGTCAATAAAGCAGGAATAGTGTTTCAGATTAGAGAGGTAAGCAATTTTTTGGAGTTGTTTGTTGAGATTTATGTTATCATTGCATACCTTACCAGAATGAAAACCAAACTGGTTCATGAGGAGTTGACATTCATAAAATGATGAGAACCTAATTAATATAAGGTTCATTAATATTTTCACCATCATGGATACATCTGTATGTTTGAGGCTTCCCCCTTTGTTTCCATAATGCAATAATTCCAGACTTCTTTCATAAAATAGAGGAACCTGTTATTTAATTTGGGAAGATAGTAAGCGATTTTCAAAAGTTCAGCTGCTATGTTGAGTGATGCTTTATTATTCCTTAGTTTTTTAATAACTTTCTTAATTTCCTCGTCAGTTTTGTTCAATGTTGCTCATGTTCTAGGATGGACTTTGACAATTCAATGAATATTGGAATATGTTCTATGCCTGTGGGTATCTTAAGTTTAGCCTAGTCAGGGTTAAAATGTGATTCAAAATGCTTTTTGAGACCAGAACATTTTTCTGTTGAGGTTTTGATTGGTTAATATTATTGTGGTTTTTCATTTTTCACCACATTTTAACACATTGACTATTGTTTGGCTTCATTAATTTCCAATTTTGCCAGAAATACTGGTTTCTCAATTAACTATTTATTTATTTATTTTTTTTTTATTTGGTTTGGTATTTTCCCACCCTTCTGTTTGTATCATTTTTTTCAACTCAATGTTGTCATCTTATGGGTGTATATTTTTTATTCTAGGTCTTTTTGTGTTGGTCTCAAATGCTTCAGCTACCAACATGATAGAATTATTTGATTCCTCTGTTTTGATCTAGATTTACTGACATCAATTTGAACTAGTTTATTACTGAATTCTAAATGTGCTCCTCATTTTTAAGAGCTTCAGTGTTATACTTCTGTGTTTTCTTG